TCAAATACCTGTACTTTCTACTTCTTACATGTTGAACACAAATACCTGTACTTTCTACTTCTTACATGTTGAACACAAATACCTGTACTTTCTACTTCTTACATGTTGAACACAAATACCTGTACTTTCTACTTCTTATATGTTGAACTCAAATACCTGTACTTTCTACTTCTTACATGTAGAACTCAAATACCTGTACTTTCTACTTCTCACATGTTGAACTCAAATACCTGTACTTTCTACTTCTTACATGTTGAACTCAAATACCTGTACCTTCTACTTCTTACATGTTGAACCCAAATACCTGTACTTTCTACTTCTTACATGTTGAACTCAAATACCTGTACTTTCTACTTCTTACATGTTGAACACAAATACCTGTACTTTCTACTTCTTACATGTTGAACTCAAATACCTGTACTTTCTACTTCTTACATGTTGAACCCAAATACCTGTACTTTCTACTTCTCTCATGTTGAACACAAATACCTGTACTTTCTACTTCTTACATGTTGAACTCAAATACCTGTACTTTCTACTTCTTACATGTTGAACCCAAATACCTGTACTTTCTACTTCTCACATGTTGAACTCAAATACCTGTACTTTCTACTTCTTACATGTTGAACTCAAATACCTGTACCTTCTACTTCTTACATGTTGAACCCAAATACCTGTACTTTCTACTTCTTACATGTTGAACTCAAATACCTGTACTTTCTACTTCTTACATGTTGAACACAAATACCTGTACTTTCTACTTCTTACATGTTGAACTCAAATACCTGTACTTTCTACTTCTTACATGTTGAACCCAAATACCTGTACTTTCTACTTCTCTCATGTTGAACACAAATACCTGTACTTTCTACTTCTTACATGTTGAACTCAAATACCTGTACTTTCTACTTCTTACATGTTGAACCCAAATACCTGTACTTTCTACTTCTCTCATGTTGAACTCAAATACCTGTACTTTCTACTTCTTACATGTTGAACACAAATACCTGTACTTTCTACTTCTTACATGTTGAACTCAAATACCTGTACTTTCTACTTCTTACATGTTGAACCAAATACCTGTACTTTCTACTTCTTACATGTTGAACCCAAATACCTGTACTTTCTACTTCTTACATGTTGAACTCAAATACCTGTACTTTCTACTTCTTACATGTTGAACACAAATACCTGTACTTTCTACTTCTTACATGTTGAACTCAAATACCTGTACTTTCTACTTCTTACATGTTGAACTCAAATACCTGTACTTTCTACTTCTTACATGTTGAACTCAAATACCTGTACTTTCTACTTCTCTCATGTTGAACACAAATACCTGTACTTTCTACTTCTTACATTTTAAACCCAAATACCTGTACTTTCTACTTCTTATATGTTGAACTCAAATACCTGTACTTTCTACTTCTTATATGTTGAACTCAAATACCTGTACTTTCTACTTCTTACATGTTGAACCCAAATACCTGTACTTTCTACTTCTTATATGTTGAACTCAAATACCTGTACTTTCTACTTCTTATATGTTGAACTCAAATACCTGTACTTTCTACTTCTTACATGTTGAACACAAATACCTGTACTTTCTACTTCTTATATGTTGAACTCAAATACCTGTACTTTCTACTTCTCACATGTTGAACACAAATACCTGTACTTTCTACTTCTTACATGTTGAACACAAATACCTGTACTTTCTACTTCTTACATGTTGAACACAAATACCTGTACTTTCTACTTCTTACATGTTGAACTCAAATACCTGTACTTTCTACTTCTTATATGTTGAACTCAAATACCTGTACTTTCTACTTCTTACATGTTGAACTCAAATACCTGTACTTTCTACTTCTCACATGTTGAACACAAATACCTGTACTTTCTACTTCTCACACGTTGAACCAAAATACCTGTACTTTCTACTTCTTACATGTTGAACCAAAATACCTGTACTTTCTACTTCTTACATGTTGAACCAAAATACCTGTACTTTCTACTTCTCACACGTTGAACACAAATACCTGTACTTTCTACTTCTCACACGTTGAACACAAATACCTGTACTTTCTACTTCTTACATGTTGAACACAAATACCTGTACTTTCTACTTCTCACATGTTGAACACAAATACCTGTACTTTCTACTTCTCACACGTTGAACCAAAATACCTGTACTTTCTACTTCTCACATGTTGAACACAAATACCTGTACTTTCTACTTCTCACACGTTGAACCAAAATACCTGTACTTTCTACTTCTCACATGTTGAACACAAATACCTGTACTTTCTACTTCTCACACGTTGAACCAAAATACCTGTACTTTCTACTTCTCACATGTTGAACTCAAATACCTGTACTTTCTACTTCTCACACGTTGAACCAAAATACCTGTACTTTCTACTTCTTACATGTTGAACCAAAATACCTGTACTTTCTACTTCTTACATGTTGAACCAAAATACCTGTACTTTCTACTTCTCACACGTTGAACACAAATACCTGTACTTTCTACTTCTCACATGTTGAACACAAATACCTGTACTTTCTACTTCTCACACGTTGAACCAAAATACCTGTACTTTCTACTTCTCACATGTTGAACCCAAATACCTGTACTTTCTACTTCTTACATGTTGAACTCAAATACCTGTACTTTCTACTTCTCACATGTTGAACACAAATACCTGTACTTTCTACTTCTTACATGTTGAACACAAATACCTGTACTTTCTACTTCTTACATGTTGAACACAAATACCTGTACTTTCTACTTCTTACCTGTTGAACACAAATACCTGTACTTTCTACTTCTTACATGTTGAACTCAAATACCTGTACTTTCTACTTCTTACATGTTGAACACAAATACCTGTACTTTCTACTTCTTATATGTTGAACTCAAATACCTGTACTTTCTACTTCTCACATGTTGAACTCAAATACCTGTACTTTCTACTTCTTACATGTTGAACTCAAATACCTGTACTTTCTACTTCTTACATGTTGAACACAAATACCTGTACTTTCTACTTCTTACATGTTGAACACAAATACCTGTACTTTCTACTTCTTACCTGTTGAACACAAATACCTGTACTTTCTACTTCTTACATGTTGAACTCAAATACCTGTACTTTCTACTTCTTACATGTTGAACACAAATACCTGTACTTTCTACTTCTTATATGTTGAACTCAAATACCTGTACTTTCTACTTCTTACATGTTGAACACAAATACCTGTACTTTCTACTTCTCACATGTTGAACTCAAATACCTGTACTTTCTACTTCTTACATGTTGAACTCAAATACCTGTACTTTCTACTTCTTACATGTTGAACTCAAATACCTGTACTTTCTACTTCTTACATGTTGAACTCAAATACCTGTACTTTCTACTTCTTACATGTTGAACTCAAATACCTGTACTTTCTACTTCTTACATGTTGAACTCAAATACCTGTACTTTCTACTTCTTACATGTTGAACACAAATACCTGTACTTTCTACTTCTTACATGTTGAACACAAATACCTGTACTTTCTACTTCTTACATGTTGAACTCAAATACCTGTACTTTCTACTTCTTACATGTTGAACACAAATACCTGTACTTTCTACTTCTTACATGTTGAACTCAAATACCTGTACTTTCTACTTCTCACATGTTGAACACAAATACCTGTACTTTCTACTTCTTACATGTTGAACACAAATACCTGTACTTTCTACTTCTTACATGTTGAACTCAAATACCTGTACTTTCTACTTCTTACATGTTGAACACAAATACCTGTACTTTCTACTTCTTACATGTTGAACACAAATACCTGTACTTTCTACTTCTTACCTGTTGAACACAAATACCTGTACTTTCTACTTCTTACATGTTGAACACAAATACCTGTACTTTCTACTTCTTACATGTTGAACACAAATACCTGTACTTTCTACTTCTTACCTGTTGAACACAAATACCTGTACTTTCTACTTCTTACATGTTGAACTCAAATACCTGTACTTTCTACTTCTTACATGTTGAACACAAATACCTGTACTTTCTACTTCTTATATGTTGAACTCAAATACCTGTACTTTCTACTTCTCACATGTTGAACTCAAATACCTGTACTTTCTACTTCTTACATGTTGAACTCAAATACCTGTACTTTCTACTTCTTACATGTTGAACTCAAATACCTGTACTTTCTACTTCTTACCTGTTGAACACAAATACCTGTACTTTCTACTTCTTACATGTTGAACTCAAATACCTGTACTTTCTACTTCTTACATGTTGAACACAAATACCTGTACTTTCTACTTCTCACATGTTGAACCCAAATACCTGTACTTTCTACTTCTTACATGTTGAACTCAAATACCTGTACTTTCTACTTCTCACATGTTGAACCCAAATACCTGTACTTTCTACTTCTTATATGTTGAACTCAAATACCTGTACTTTCTACTTCTCACATGTTGAACTCAAATACCTGTACTTTCTACTTCTTACATGTTGAACTCAAATACCTGTACTTTCTACTTCTTACATGTTGAACTCAAATACCTGTACTTTCTACTTCTTACATGTTGAACCCAAATACCTGTACTTTCTACTTCTTACATGTTGAACACAAATACCTGTACTTTCTACTTCTCACATGTTGAACACAAATACCTGTACTTTCTACTTCTTACATGTTGAACACAAATACCTGTACTTTCTACTTCTTACATGTTGAACTCAAATACCTGTACTTTCTACTTCTCTTATTTTCCAAACAGCTGGTTCCTTTAGTCTGAATGTGTGTTTGGTGAGTGATCATTATTCTTTAGAGTCATTGCTGAAGTACATTTCAAAGACCTCTTTGTTTTTACTTGAGTAAAGAAGTTTAGTCAGTACTTCTACCAGAGTATTTTTAAACACTGTACTTCTACTTGAGTAAAGGAAGTGTGTACTTCTGCCCCCTCTGGGGTTTATTAATGAAACTGGGACTAATCACGTCATACAGATTTATGGGCGTGTATCTGTTCAGCCTGCACTCACCTCCAGGTCCGGCAGGCTGAACTCGATCTTCCGGTCCAGACGTCCGGGTCTCATCAGCGCCGGGTCCAGGGTGTCCGGCCTGTTGGTGGCCATCAGAACCTTGATGTTTCCTCGCGGGTCGAAGCCGTCCAGCTGGTTGATGAGCTCCAGCATCGTCCTCTGGACCTCGTTGTCTCCTCCGGCGCCGTCGTCAAAACGAGCGCCTGGCAGGGAGAGAAACAGAGAGGGGGGGGGGTTCAGGTTAATGTCTGAAGTCCTTACCACCAGCTGCTCTTGCAGAAATAAGTAGTGCCCCTTTCTTACTGTCCTCATGTGCTCAATGTAGGGACTGCTTTTTCGTCTTTTGCTTTCTTAGTTATCTTCTCTGTGTTTTATATGTTTGTGTAACGCTGCTGCCTTCTTGGCCAGGTCAGCATTGAGATGAGATTTGATCCCAATGCTTTTATCTGGTTGAATAAATAATGTGGAAAACTGTGGACTGCTTAAATGTTAAATCATGTTTGTTTTTTTATTCAGTTAACATTCTTTAAATATAATAATAGGTCAATTGTATTTAAAAAAGGGGAAATACTTTTGTTACAGCAGCATTGTTTACAGTCATTTAAAATTATACACAATATACAGAATAAATAAGAATACTCGTTTGGGAGCCTCGAGAGCCGAGACAAATGATCCGGCTCACCCATCACTAACGTAAAGAGATAGTATCTATAAGGGACGGCTCAATTCAAAATGCAAGTCACATGACGTGACGACGCCCTCTCAGCCCTGGTCTGGAAACACTGATCATGACACCGACACATGAGAGAACATTTACATTCAATTGTGATATAGAGAGGATGGGACCTCACCTCCAATGGCGTCAATTTCATCAAAGAAGATTAGACAGGCCTTCTTAGTCCGGGCCATCTCGAACAGTTCACGCACCATCCTGGCTCCCTACACACACACACACACACACACACATTGTCCTTTATACTTAAACAAGATGTATGAGCTGTTATTGTGATCTGTGTTATTGTGTTGCACTGTGGGAGGAGCCTGGGACCTAAGATTCTCATCGACATAACTCCACTGGAGCATCGGTACACAAGACAATAAAAGCCTTGAATCTTGAATTCAATGTCCCTCTGTAATCACTCACCTCTCCCACATACTTCTGCACCAGCTCGGAGCCGATGACTCTGATGAAGCAGGCGTCGGTCCGGTTGGCCACGGCTCGGGCACAAAGAGTCTTTCCGGTGCCGGGGGGCCCGAACAGAAGCACACCTTTCGGGGGCTCGATACCCAGATTGACAAACCTCTCGGGCTGGTGAGCAGAGGAGAGGGGAACAGGAAGATCAACCAATCTGCAGACACTTGCCTACGATATTACTTTGGACAACATAAAGTATTTCTTCTTCTTATCAGATCGAGTGTGAACGTTCTATTAAATCACAGCAGCTTAATTTGCGACATCAACAAGTCAAAGTATTCGACATCAATCGTACATTTGATCTGGGATTGAACTTTGAGGATTTGGTGCACAAAGGAGTTCTTCAGTCTAATGGCGCGTTTCCACTGCAGCGGGTAGCTCGCTTTAAGCGTGCCGAGCCGTGCGGGGCCCGTTTTTGGTTGCCTTTCCACTTGGCATGGTTTTGGCCCGGGGCTACTTTTTCACCTTTTTTCTGGCCCGACTAAATCGTGGTTCTAGGGCCAGGAACAACCAGGCTGAGTCGGGCTGAGTATGCTAAACTAGAGAGAGAATCGCTGGCAAGGGGGCTACAACTACAACAAGATGAACATATTTGACCGTGATTTAATTGTAATACACGTTTCAAAATGATGCCGAAGTAACAACATACTGATACCGGTTAGTAAAAACCATGAATTAATGCTTTGACAAGTCTGCAGACAGACGGCAGGCGAAAAACCCTTTTAAAATGCGTGCTTTCTAAATGTAGCTTGGCTAAGCTAACGTTATATTTGCTCCGACCGTCCACACTCACAACAACGGCCTATACAGACATAAATAAACCAGCGACTGTATTCTCCATGACACAGGCAGTCTGTGGTTTGTACTTGTTTAACTTTTGTCTAGTTTCTGAACAGATATGAAGAGCTGTGTGCTCTGAGGGCTAACAGCTAACGGCTGTGTTGTTTTTCTGGGGCTCTCATTGAAGATGACGTCACGGCTCCGCCTACACTGCGTTACTATAGTAACTACCCCAGTTCCTAAACTGTAATGGAAGCGCAGCATTAAAGTGAGCCGGGCCTAATAAGGCATAACCAAACCGAGCGAGGCCTGCAGTGGAAACGCGCCATAACTGTATCAAGTAGTGGGACACTAGTCTCATTCAAAGGGCATCGAACAGCAGTTTTATTTAGTCCCGTTAACTCAACTAGAAAGGTGACCTCATTATTAACCGAAGTGTGACTGCATGTTTTGTTTATTAGAATCCCTGCAAAACTGTTGAAAGGTGTTCCTGAAAAGCTCTGGTATTGATTTATCTGTGGGATGTCTTCCTTTGTGAACACTCACATGCAGCAGGGGGGTCTCCACCACTTCTCTCAGCTTCTCAATCTGCTCCTTACACCCACCGACATCACTGTAGGTCACATCGGGCTTCTCCTCCACCTACAACACGAGAACAGTTAATGCTACAGCTCGCCGTGAAACATTGCACACTTTGATGCAATTCTCACGACTCAAAATGGCGACAAATGTGTGACTAAAATGAGCAGATCCGTACCTGCATCATGGTGACAGTCGGGTCGATCTTAGGAGGCAGAGGGATGTGGATCTGGTACTTGTTTCTGTCAACACTGGAAGGACAGAAGGGACAAGACATTGAGAAGATCGTTACACAAGAAATGTTCAATTTCTAAGCAACATTTGAGACGTATAAACGTACCCCACTCTCATGCCCTCCTCAATGTCAGTGGGAGCCACCTGGTCGCTCAGGTCGACCACAAACTTGGCGAACTGTTTGACGTTGATGATGTATTTGGGGTCCTCGGAGTCGGCGTTGATGATCTTGGTGCATCTGGTAAAACGATACGGAGGAAATGTATAAACCGGAAGCTATACAGATGCATTGATTGAGCGATAGAGTAAGAACGAGTGGGCTGTTATGGATGAAGCCCTCTGAGCATTTTGGAGTTTGTTGAGTCGTGATACATAGCACAAAAACATCCAAAACGATTGCCCTAGTTTTTTCCACAATGCTATTACTGATTCAAAGCTGCTCTGGTTGATTTGCGTAGACCTTTAAACCAGACTTTTACACATGCATTGATGGAGAGATCAGTCAGTTGTATTCACCTCGCAACCTGCAGCGGCTGTTCGCTCTGCAGAGTCTGTTTGTCTGCAGCCAGATCCCAGAGTGCAGGAGGAGCCAGGCCTGTGTCCGACTCCTTGATGCCTGTCAGAGGCAAACAACACAACAGCAAATTCAGACATATTTCAGCATCCAATCCCTTTAGCCAGCAGCTGAGAAAACGTAAGTATAGTAACATGTTTTACTCTTAAGCGTTACATTACATGTCATTTGTTAGACGCTTTTATCCAAAGCGACTTATACTCAATACTGTGGGCAATCCCCACAGGAGCAATTTGGGGTGAAGTGTCTCCGGGACACAACCACATGCTGACTGCAGTGGGACTCGAACTTGCTACCCCCCGATTCAAAGTCCATCATACTACCCACTGAGCCAGTATATCACCCACCTGTGAGCTCGTTGATCTTCTTGAGCAGCTGCTGGATGTCATCTTCAACTTGTTTGATCTGTCTGGAGTAGGTGCTTTGTCCCTGATGATCAACAGCAAGCATCACATTAGAAGACATACATATAATAACAATCAAAGTGAATTTTATTGTCAATTTCTCAGACAGGGAGATCGAGAGGCTGTTTCTCACCATCCCAAAGTATACAGATATATAAACACACCTGTACACCCACATTAAGAGGTATACATACACAAGGGTTAGGGTTAGGCTACTATGACAGTAAAAGTATACACAGTAGTGCAAATGACCTCCCACAGCTTTCCTAGCAGAACAAGTGTCTGGTGCTGGATGTGGATATAACCAATTTCACATTTAAAACTAATGTGCTTCGGTCTATCTCCCGGTGTACTTACATATGTTTTCAGCAGAGCAATGTCTCCTTCATCCAAAGCTGTTGAGAAATAAACAACAATAATGAATTTGCATTCTGACAACACTGGTCGTTGGGCCGTTAGCACTCTTATCTATCCGAGCAATAACATTTTATTAACTTACATTTACACAACATATACTAACTACTATAAACAGAATACATTATATACAAACCAAAAATAGGTTATTAAAGGCATTCGTAAAAAAGTAGCACCACATTTCACGAGAATAGCTAACGTTAGCATGAAGCTAATGTCGACGTTTCTTTACAGGAAAGAACTGAATGTTTTTAATAATTCATATATTATTAGGATTACATCTGATAGGTGCGTCATCTTTCTCAGGTTCCTTGGTCTTTCTTTGAGAGTCTCCCAAGTAGTCCGGCATGTTAAATGTGAGATTAAAGTGTCTCCTAGAAAAAGAAGCTGCTTCTTCAGCAGCTAAAAACGGTACGATTACACAGCAGGTTTCTGACTTCCGATTCTTTCTGCCAGTCACCGGAAATACAGGTCGGACATTTATTGATGAAGCACCACCAATAACGTAATACATATTTAAATCACATAAATAATACTTTTATAATTGGAGGTAATACATATTAAATAATCAAATGATATTAATGATTTTCTAGTGAAAACGCGCTGTTTTTCTATAAACATAAATAATTTTCACATACTGTACTAACATATTGCACCCTACGTTACTTGAATATGGCTCTTTTTTACTGAGAATAAGTATATATTGTTTTTAAATTTTAATCTGTACTGTTAATATTTATTTGTATTTTATTCTATTCATACTTTGACAAAATAAATCCCCAATTTCGGATAAATCAAATATTTGTGTCAAAGAGGAACTAAAGTTACGTCGGAACCATTATCCCCCTACACGGAGTTGTTGAGCACATGACGTCACGGCTCGTTTTTTCGGCACCAGGAGGCCCATGTGGTGTTTTAATGAGCGACCACCAACTCCAGCACTTTGAACACTTTCACCTGATTATTTTTGCACCTGGATGCTCTTGTAGTTCATACTTTCTAAGATGTTGTTAACAGCGCTGGACGGAGATGAGACGGCTGTTTTTAAAGCCGCTGTCGGTGAGTACCGGGAGGCCGGAGGGGGTGAACGTTAGCCGGCTAAAGAAGCTACAATGCTGAGCATTGAGGCTCTAACACGCAGCTAAACATAGATACAAATCAGAATACCTTTATTAGTCCCAAAGAGGGGACATTAACACTGTTAAATCAAAGAGACAATAATGATAGAGACAGAATAAAAAACTGTATTTAGTACACTGCCATGTAGACACATGTACAACATGTAGAAAGTAATGAATTAGCTCCAGGATGACTGTACTAAATACTATAATGGATACTTTATTATGTCAAATGGGGAATTATTTTGTAACAGCAGCAGTGTTGTCAATCATCATTACACTAGTTAACAATGTTTAAAAGGGTCAAATACAACAAAGCAAGTATATACACATTCTCAATAGAAAGGACACATTTCACTATAGTATCTAAATAATACACAATATAAAGAAATGATTGAATACATTGAATACTCTACGGTATACAGTCTCACTGATATACATACATACATATATAGAACTGCAGTACTAGTAGTAGTGCTAGAATGAGTGGTGGTGGCATTAGTATAGTACAGATATCAGAGTACCTGTATTACTGCCACAAAAGGCACATTTTTATTGTTAAATTAAGAGGCAAACATATTAATTAAGAGGCAAGCTTAAAATATGAAAGATAAAAACTGAAATTACACAAACTACAATTAACAAAAAGGTGGACAACCAAAAGTACCAGTAACAATATTTGTTAGGTATCTCAGTGTCAATTCGTCAAGATCCTAATATGTGTATATATTACTTTAATTGGCGTTAAAACAATTGAACATCCTGTTGGGGCTCCATATAGGTGTTCAGATGAGAATCAGGTTTCTGTCCCACCCTCAGTCTTTACCAAATACTGCTGACATGTTTGAATTGTTAACTATTTTAGTCCCATCCATAGCATATGTCAGTTTCTATTCTTCAAGATGCTCATGTGTTTATATTAACATCAGCATTAGGACAAATCTAATATCCTGTTGGGGCTCCATATTTGTTTCCATATCTATTTTTAGCTCGTATTATTCTGTATATAGTTCCCATACAAAGACACACTGTAATATATTACACTTTTAGTTTTAAGGCTATTGTAACAAATCAAAAATAAAGACAATATTTACACAACATATAATTATGTCAGGATCTGAGTACATTCAAATCTAATAAAGTATGACAATTAAATACTATATTCAAACTGGAGAGCTGTGCAGACTTTAAAGAGGTAGTGGAGCAGAAATGCACTGTTCACATGATTTGCATTCATGTGATTCATAATGTTTTTATGGTGTTGATACAAAGTCAGGGGTCAAGTAGCAGACGGATTTATAACAGATGGTTTTAAGTCTTATATATATTATTTCTGCTCGGTTCGAGGAGCCTGGGACTTCAGATTTCCATATCTACACTATAGCTGTACCTATGACACATAATAATAATCTTTGTTTGTATAGCACCTTCCATACAACAAGTGCAGTCCGAAGTGCTTACCATAGACATTTCACAGAACATTGATATCACACAGAATACAGATACACACATAACTAAAAATAGCATAGAGTAGACGTATGTAAAAAATACATTTAGATTAAAGGTACAACGATGAAATTGTGCATTAAAAGGAGGATAGTGCAAATTCAACACACAATCAGGTGACGGGTTAAAATGCATCGAGAAAGTGCAGCAGAGAGCAGGGGTGTTTCTCAATGTCAAGGAAGGATGCTCCAGAGCCACTATTTCAAGGATGCTACGTCATCGAGTGCCGCCGAAGGACTGTTCCAATGTCCAGGATGCTTGGAATTCTACCGAGCCCGGCGTCCTTCGTAGAGAGAAATGTTGAGGCTGCACGTGTGTATCCTCCACGGTCTTAAAATCCCCACAATGCTTTGCACACGGACCAATTTCCCGAAATCTGTGGCGGGGCCTCTCGTATGACGCACACCTGCACACTTGCTCGTCTGTTCCATTCTTCGTTTTCCGAATGCCAGGAAGGATTCTTGCCTCGCTTCTGAAGGAAGTGAGGTGGGGTGACATGGGGTGTTTCTCAGAAACCGAGTCACTTCGGAAGTCCTTCGGCGGCACTCGATGACGTAGTATGCTTGAAATAGTGGCTCTGGAGCAGTCTTCCTCGACATTGAGAAACACCCATGTGCTACCCAAGCCCCCAGGAAGTGCGCCGGACTCTGTGCCCAACATTCATTGTGTCCAAACGGCGGTACTGCAACTTCTGTATCAGTCCGTGACGTCACCCGGTCCAAAACAACTTTTCCCATTGACTAACATGGGGAAAGAAACGTCTGTAAATCGGTGGATACTTTTTAAAAAACTAAATAAACTACCCAGCATGAACTATGTTAGAGCCCTTATTAGAATCATTCGGTCCTTAAAGTTGTAAAATGCACTAAAAGCCGAATCTAGATTTATTTTCTCTCCATTCATTCTACTGAGCCGAGAGTGGGAGCTCAGGGGGCGGGGCTTAAGGGGTTCTTCCGCTCTGAAAGCTTGGCATGCTGGGTAATCTGTGACGTTTTGCTCTCTCAAAAGTTGGGCCATTTTGTCATCATGCGCCAATGAGCAGCTCTCATAGGAAATAACGAGACCCCGCCTCCCACGCTGTATCCAGTTGTTACTATACATCCATGGTCCTGCCAAGGAAGCGTCCTCGACATTTGAGAGTTTGCTTCCTAAAAGGCTAAATAGTACAAAATGTGTTATGAGTTTTTAAACGCCTCTGAACTCGAGTGAAGTTGTCAGGAATCAGTTGTTCTCTGCTCCGTGTCCTCAGCCTCGGTGCAGATCCAGGTGGAGCCGGTGGGCCGCTGGTTCGAGGCGTACATCAAGAGGAGGAACAGGACCGCTTCGGCCTCTTTCCAGGAGCTGGAGGAGGAGCAGCAGTCCTCAGAGGAGTCGGAGGACGAGGAGTTCGTGCTGCAGGAATACCCCATGCTGCGGACCCTCGACCCCAAAGACTGGAAGGTAAAGGTCCAAAGATATCTCGGGAATTAAAGGTCACCTATTATGCAAAATCCACTTGTTCATGTCTCTTCTACAACACGTGTCCCCTCTGTGGGGATTATGGGATGCTGCAATGATCTGTTTGGTGTTTCAGCCAATCAGAGACAGGCTCTGTATATATCTGAGACCTGTGATATATTGAAGAACAGTACAATAGGGGAACTTGAAGGTTTCTGCTTCCTTTTGAGAGCGCCGTTTTAATGCAACCTACTGTTTTTGGGCACCTTGAGCTTCTTCAAACTCAAACATGTTGAATTTACAACAATTTAAACTTCAAATAGAAGAAATCCTCACATCTGAGAGGCTGGAATAAGTCTTTGGATATATGTTTGAGTTGAGCGACCAATAGATTATTTCCTTTTTCCCAATATTATTTATTTGTTTCGGCACAAAAAGTGAATTGTTTTTAATTACCATGGATCAATGTGTTCAGTAACCTTTGTATGTTTTAGAGTTCATTTAAAGATATTTTATGAATTAAATGAAACAATTTGTAACATTGTATAAAGATAAAGGACATGCACAAAATATAATAAATTAAACTCATTATTATAATTTTGTTTGTCAGAATCAAGATCACTATTGTGTCCTCGGGCTTCCACACTTGAGATACAAAGCCACGCAGAAACAGATCAAAACCGCCCGTGAGTACATGTCTTATTCCTCCTGCTCTAATGGGTCCTTTTATTCGATGTCCAGTAAATAATGTTATTGACTCTCTGCTCCACAGACAAAGGGATTGTGTTGAAGCACCATCCGGACAAGAGGAAAGCTGCAGGAGAGCAGATTGGAGAGGGAGACAACGACTACTTCACCTGTATAACTAAAGGTATACAACACTAACACTCATGACTAGGGTTGGGAACCAAAACTCGGTTCCAGATGAGAACCGATAAGAAAATGCCGGGTACCGGGTACCCATACAAAATACACACTTTCGGTTCTACTTAACGGTTCCTAAACGCGGTAGACCCTGTATTCCACCGGGTCCGTCTGCGCCGCGGCGACCCGGTGGAATACAGCCAGGGTAAGGGCGGACTGGCCATCTGTGTGTTCTGGAGAATCACAGAACGGCCGGCTCGGTACGCTGACGGTCATATTTTTAAACGGCATCATGTAAGTTGCGGCGACAGAGGTCCAGTTGCCCCGCAGCGAGGCTCCCCCCGTCCCTCCCGTAGACAGTTCACGAGCTCAGTCACTTCATAACACCAAAGATGGGTCGCGGTAAACGCTCTGAAGTGATGCTCCACTACACTAAAAAAGAAAAAGACAAGGCACAGTGTAATGCCTGTTAACAGCTTGCCACAGGCGTAGCTCAGTTAAAATAAAGCACAGCTATTGTGCAATACATTTGTATTGCATGTATATTTTTTATTTGTAAAAATGTCAGTTAAAGCTTAAAAAAAATAAAGATATTTTTGTTATCTAAACGTTTGACCTCTTTTACAATTTTGGAATTGAAACGGGGAATCGATAAGAATCGGAATCGATACATTTCAAACGATACCCATCCCTACTCATGACTGGATCATCGGGAAGTCCTGTTCTGTACCGGTTACCTTTTCAATGAGGTTAAAATGGCGTGTGTAAAAACAACATTTCTTAATGTTTTGCAGTGTAAATATATCTAATTAGTTGAGGCATATATGATGGCCAAAAAACAAGGCTACGAGGCTGTGCTCTTCTGAAGAAATGATCTAACACTCGTACATCAATTGTACAGAGAAATACAAAATCGCGCAGCTCACAGAACAAAAACAAATAAAGATATGAACACAAAATAAACAATAATAAAAACAATACCATTTAATAGCACTACCATCTACAGAGTGCAGAACGCTAAGGAGAAGACATTGGTTTTAAGACCAGATATAATCCAGGGTGTCCGCGGGGTCTTAAAAAGTATTAGAAGTTGATAAATCAATTTAGAGAAAATGAAGGCTATTAAAAAGTATTAAACGGCATTTCCCAAGGTATTACATTTTGCAGCTTGTTTTCAATAAGTATATAAATGGTCCAAAGAGGTTGTGTTCTACAGTCTGCCTGAATGTAATCATGGCGTAGGTGTGTAGTGTGATTCTGTGTAGTTTATTGATGGCATCCCGTTGGGTTTGACGTCATCTGAACAGGACATCGCACGCTCACTGCTTGATAGCGCGGAGGTCCGTTTACGCCGGTTGCTAAGCAACATCGTTATGGGGAAATGCAAGTCTGCGTCCAAATGGTTGGAAGATAAGGAGGAAGGACAATCAATACTGTATATAGTCAATGTGAGGTAAAGTGTGTCGCCAAGGTAACGGGTTAAAACTCAAAGTGGCGATGAGGTCTTAAAATGTATGGAGAGGGTCTTTAAAGGTTTTACATCTGACTTCAGGATTCCTGCATATACCCTGTGTTGTTAATAATAATAATAATACATTTATCTAGCGCTTTTCCTGGTGCTCAAAGCGCCTTACAAGCAAGTAAAGACAAATAACAACAAAAGTAAAAAGTGTGTATATATATATATATATAAACTGTGTGGGAGCGTGTCTGATGTGGAGGTGCTCCACAGTTTAGGGGCGCCAGCAGAGAAAGCATGGCCCCCCTTTTGTGCTTTAGCTTTGTTCTGGAAACAATCAGGAGGTGATCAGCTGACCTGAATAAAGGCGAGTGGGGGTGTAGCAGCTCAGAGAGGTAGCGTGTGGCCATTGAAGAGTTTTAAAATGCTTAAATGTATCAAAAGGAACTATAAAACTACCACCCAGTAATCCTGCAAAAGCACCGATTCAATGTATTTGTATTCCAGTGAGTACATAAGAACACTTGGTAAGCTATTTTGTATGACAGGAAATAGGAAATGCAAAGATATTCCATGTTAAAAGAATCAAAAACAAAACCAATTTCCTCATGTTTTGCATATGGAGTTATAGGAAGAGACTGTCCTGTACTGAAGGACAAGAAAGTAGAAAGAAAGTGAAGTCAAAGAAAACTCTTTCTGCTAAACAGTGAGCAATGATTGAGTCAGAGCTAAACATTTCAGTGTATCTCACTGTGACTTTCATTCATGCAGCTTTGCTTTTAAATGAGTGTTTTTAAGGGTGCGTTCACACCTGCCTTGTATAGTCCGGTTGAATCGAACCCTGGTGCGTTTAGCCGCTTGGTGCGGTTCGTTTGGGTCGGTGTGAACGCAGTCCGAGACCTCTGAAGTGAACTAAACAACCGGACTCTGGTCCGCCTAAAATAGGTGGTCTCGGAACGCTTGCTCGTGAACTCTGGAGCGGTTCATCGCTGGTGTGAACGCAGTCCGCAGCAACACATAGGAAGCGTAGTATTTACGAGTCACAAGAACGCGGATGTCTTCAAATCTTTAGCGAAAGAGTCTTTCGATAAAGATTTTGAAGACATCCGCGGTTGTTTAGTTAAAGAGTGAAGCAGAATAAAGTGTTGAACAGTTTTCTGTAAAGTAAAAATGCTCCGTCAACTACATAAAAGTCAGAGCCACCTGTCGTCGGTGAAACCTCCTCCTGACTGCAGAACGTCTCATTATGTTATAATGTTTTTTAACGGACGTTGTCTGGTTATATAATCATATGCGCGAGTGTCTGTTGATCTCCAGATTAACGGCAGCATGAGAATAACCTGCCGATGCTCCACGGCGGAGGCTCCGGTAGAAATTGTCGGGATTTGCGTTTTTACCCCCTTGATGTCTGACCAATGGTTGAACAGCATTTCCGAGCACATGACTTGTGTTTAAAGTTTACAGTCCGTTTGAGTTGAAACCGAACCTTCTGAAACTGTCGTCTGGCAGCAGAAAACGGACTATTAATGGGTTTAAAAAGCACTTCGTATTTGACTTCAAATCCCGAAGTGCTACGAGCAGTGAGCATGAACAGTGTAAAAACATTACACAACACGGTAGCATTAATAAAAAGCAAGACAATTTAAAAAATTTAAAAAACAGACAATAACATTTTCATCATTTCATAATATGTTTCTTAATGTCTTTCGTAAAGCACTTTGAATTGCCTTGTGTTGAAATGTGCTGTATAAATAAACTCTGGTTGTTCATCAGCTCTCACTCATTACTTGATTGTCGTAAATTCACTGTTTCTCTTTCCCGTGTTTCTCGTTTCAACCCCAGCTATTGAGATCCTGTCGGACCCGGTGAAGAGGAGAGCGTTCGACAGCGTAGACCCCACCTTCGATAACAGCGTGCCTTCAAAGAACGAAGGCAAAGAGAACTTTACTGAAGTGTATGCTCCCGTTTTTGAGAGAAATGCAAGATGGACCTCCAAAAAGCACGTGCCCAAGCTGGGGACCATGGAGTCCACTTTCGAAGAAGTCGATAATTTTTACTCTTTTTGGTGAGTAGGGGCCGTTTAATCTGCCGCCCTGTTGATGAAACGTTGGTTTTATAAGGGGTTGTTTCCTGTAACGTGTAGAATAATCAGATTTATCAGTTATACCAAGTATACAGATTATGATCTAATCCGATTACCCTTTACTCAACCCCCATATTCCCAAATATACAAAAATACAACACGAATCAAAGCTCTTAAAAATATCTATATCCACAGTCAGGGGTTTTCCTATAAAGCTATCGTATGAGCCGGTGATACTGTGGCGCTGATCTTGTTTATAAGATATATCAATTATCGCGAGAACATAGTTCTCTCACACCAAGTACTTTGCCGTACTTAGTGCCAGCACTTAGTTCCCCCATGGAACTAAGAGCCAATCGCGTTCACACCGGAATAAGTCAGTGAGGGAGGATTAGCAAAAGAAGCCGCTGACATCACTTCTTCTTCTTCTGCTTTGGGTTTACTGGCAGGCCGCAAACCACTTCACGGCATATACTGCCACCCGGAGTCCCCGGCCGGAAGTCCCCGGAGTTAGGGACTGGCTTCAGTAGAAGCTGCTGGGACTCCCAGCAGCTTCTACTGAAGCCTTCCGAGTAAATCGCCAGAACACCGACACCTCCTCATCTCCACCGCTCCCATGTTTTATTTTGTGTTGCCATAAGTTAGTCTCTCTGCGTTTCTGCGCTGGGCTAATGCTAATAATGCTAATGCCAGCAAATACAATGGCGGCTTCACAAAACTTTTCAGAGTTTTACGGGGCATGGTTTGCAATCCGCCCAGCCAATTAGAAATTGGAACTTCTTTCTCCCCAGGAAAGTCCCACCTCTCTAGCAGGCACTAAAAATGGGGGTAAAAGTTCTCATGAACTAAGTTCTCTTTTTGGTGTGAACGCAAAATCCCAGGAACTATCGGAACTAAAAGGGAAAAGTACTCCGGTGTGAAAGCGCCTCATGACACCCGTATGGCGGCACGGACGTAAACAACAACGTCGGTGCTCTGTAAAAACAACGCTGTCTCGGCCGTCTGACGCTCTATTAAACAACATGGTCATATTTTTTGAGTAATTATACAGTTTTTGACGAACAGAAATATTGTTTTCTGGCATCACTGACACATTCTTTTAGAGTTGATCTCTTAATATGTAAACATCTTGACATTTAGCCAAAAGAAGCTAACTGGTTAAAGGAGATTAATTTCTAAAATGTATCAATTATTATATTAGCAGAACATGTTAAAGTGCTTAATCCTCTGCATTGAAAATAGGAGGAATAAAGGGTTCAAGTAAATCTATTTCAATACCTGATTAATAATAGGAAACTTTATTTATATAGTAGATTTTAAATGGTTACAAAGTGCTTTTGCATTTAATCAGTAGACATTTAAATACAAAGATTGAAAATTAACTATACACCTTATAAAACAAAGGAAGTAGAACAGATATTATTAAACACAGAGATAAAAACATTCAAATAAACAAAAACGACAACAATCCGTTTCATTTAAAAGTGAAACATTTCAGAAACTGATCTCAGTGTCAGAACAGAAACATTCATGTTCAGTATTTATTTAGTGTCAGTGTGTGTAAACTTGTTTTGTCCATTTCCTTTTTAAGGTACAACTTCGATTCATGGAGGGAATTCTCATACCTCGATGAGGAGGAAAAGGATAAGGCTGAGTGGTGAGCAGCGACCCAAACGTACCGATGCACATCCCGAGTTATAGATTTAAATATCTGACGGGTGTTTTTATTCCCTGCAGTCGAGACGAGAGGCGGTGGATCGAAAAGCAGAATCGAGGTTCCAGAGCCGTGAGGAAGAAGGAGGAGATGAACAGAATGCGAAACCTAGTTGGTACAGTCTCACACTGCAAGATGTAGAAAACACAATCAAAATACCACAACACTATTTACAATTATGGAGAGAAAACCCCCAATAACTCATGTGTTGTTCGCTGCAGATTCTGCTTACAGCCTTGACCCGAGAATAAAGAAATTCAAAGATGAGGAGAAAGCCAGGAAGGAGGCTGAGAAAAAGGCCAAGGTGGAAGCCAAGAAGAGAGAGCAGGAGGAGAAGGAGCGGGTAAGAGTCTTTCTTTTTAAACCATCATCACAGCAATGTAAAGTAGTGCCAAGAAATCCTGATCTTTTTCTCATTGAAAGGATTAACCTCAGCTTCATATCAAGTGTGTAGTTGTCTCTACTTTAAAGAGTCCTCTCCTGTTGATGTGTTCAGGTGTATATCAGTATGTAGTGTCTCTACTTTTAAAAGTCCTCTCCTCTGATGTTCAGGTGTAATATCAGTAATGTATGTCTCTACTTAAAGTAGTCCTCTCCTCGATGTTCAGGGTGTATATCAGTATGTAGTGTCTCATACTTTAAAGAGTCCTCTCCTGCTGGATGTTCAGGTGTATATCAGTATGTAGTGTCCCTACACTTTAAAGAGTCCTCTCCTGCTGATGTTAAGGTGTATATCAGTATGTAGTGTCCTCTACTTTAAAGAGTCCTCTCCTGCTGATGCCCTGCTGATGTCAGGTGTATATCAGTATGTAGTGTCTCTACTTTAAAGAGTCCTCTCCTGCTGATGTTCAGGTGTATATCAGTATGTAGTGTCTCTACTTTAAAGAGTCCTCTCCTGCTGATGTCAGGTGTATATCAGTATGTAGTGTCTCTACTTTAAAGAGTCCTCCTCCTGCTGATGTTCAGGTGTATATCAGTATGGTAGTGTCTCTACTTTAAAGGTCCCTCTCCTGCTGATGTTCAGGTGTATATCAGTATGTAGTGTCTCTACTTTAAAGAGTCCTCTCCTGCTGATGTTCAGGTGTATATCAGTATGTAGTGTCTCTACTTTAAAGAGTCCTCTCTCTGGCTGATGTTCAGGTGTATATCAGTATGTAGTGTCTCTACTTTAAAGAGTCCTCTCCTGCTGATGTTCAGGTGTATATCAGTATGTAGTGTCTCTACTTTAAAGAGTCCTCTCCTGCTGATGTTCAGGTGTATATCAGTATGTAGTGTCTCTACTTTAAAGAGTCCTCTTCCTGCTGATGTTCAGGGTGTCATATCAGTATGTAGTGGTTCCTCTAATGGTCTCTACTTTAAAGAGTCCCTCTCCTGCTGGATGTTCAGGGTGTATAATCAGTATGTAAGTGTCACCCTCTACTTTAAAGAGTCCTCTCCTGCTGATGTTCAGGCTGTAATATCCAGTATGTAGGTGTCTCTCACTTTAAACGATTTCCTCTCCTGCTGATGTTCACGTGTATATCCAGTATGTAGTGTCTTCTACTTTAAAGAGGTCCTCTTCCTGCTGATCGTTTCAAGGTTGTATATCATATGTAGTGTCCCTCTACTTTAAAGAGTCCTCTCCTGCTGATGTTCAGGGTGATATCAGTATGTCGTGTGCCTCTACTTTAAAGAGTCCTCTCCTGCTGATGTTCAGGTGTATATATCACGTATGTCACCGTTGTCTGCTACTTTAAAGAGTCCTCTCCTAGCTGACCCGCCGTTCAGGTGTGTATACTCAGTATGTAGTCGTCTACTACTGTAAAGAGTCCTCTCACTGCTGATGTTTCAGGTGTTGATATCAGTATGTAGTTGTTCCTCTACTCTTAAAGAGTCCTCTCCTGCTGATAGGTCAGGTGTATATCAGTATGTAGTGTCTCTACTTTAAAGAGTCCTCTCCTGCTGATGTTCAGGTGTATATCAGTATGTAGTGTCTCTACTTTAAAGAGTCCTCTCCTGCTGATGTGGGGAAACCCCTAAAAAAGCACAATAGGGCCCCTTTAAATGAGTTTGTGATGACAAGTGTCTCATCAGTCAGTTTCCTGTGTGTTTTCAGGCCCGGCAGGCGGAGATCGATGCGGCTCGTTTGGCGAAGGAGAAGGAGGAAGAGGAGGCCAGGCAGGTGGCTCAGCTGGCCAAGAAGGAGAAGGAGATCCAGAAGAAGGCCATCAAGAAGGAGAGGCAGAAACTCAGGACTTCCTGCAAGGTTTGTGCTCAGAAAAAAAAAAGCATTTCTGGACACTTTCTAACCTTCAGCAGTAAGAGTGCTTTGTTTAATCTCGTCTACTCACTCCACAGACCTGGAATTACTTCACTGAGGAGGAATCTGACAGTGTGAAGATGATGGAGGAGGTGGAGAAGCTCTGTGATCGCCTGGAGCTGACCAGGTACAGACATATACAACAGCATCACCTGGAGGATATTGAATGTAGTTTTATCTCCTCTTATCACAAATCTGTGTTTCCAGCCTGCAGTCCCTGAATGAGATCCTGGCTCTGGGCTCCAGAGAGGACAGCAAGGTGGCCGTGGTGAAGCAGGTAAAGAGAATTATTCCTGGCCTTTCCCCTTTTTATTTCACAGCTAATATGGTAAGATGCTGTATGTAAAGCCCTCTTAACCTTTGTGTTGTCTGTCAGTCAACTGTGCAACTTTTGCCCTCTGTCGTTTGAACTGTTTGTAAACAGGGGTCTTAAAAAGTATTAAAAGTTGATAAATCAATTTAGCGAAAATGAAGGCTATTAAAAAGTATTAAACGGCATTTTCCAAGGTGTTACATTTTGTAGCTTGTTTTCAATAAGTATATAAATGGTCCAAAGAGGTTGTATTCTACAGTGTGCCTGAATGTAATCATGGCGTAGGCGTGTAGTGTGATTCTGTGTAGTTTATTGTTGGCATCCCGTTGGATGTGACGTCATCTGAACAGGACATCGCACGCTCACTGCTTGATAGCGCGGAGGTCCGTTTATGCCGGTTGCTAAGCAACATCGTTATGGGGAAATGCAAGTCTGCGTCCAAATGGTTGGAAGATAAGGAGGAAGGACAATCAATACTGTATATAGTCAATGTGAGGTGAAGTGTGTCGCCAAGGTAACCGGTTAGAACTCAAAGTGGCGATGAGGTCTTAAAATGTATGGAAAGGGTCTTAAAAAGGTCTTACATCTGACTTCAGGATTCCTGCATATACCCTGGTAAAGCTGATCACATAAATCAATACACATACAACCTCTTTATTAAACGAAAAAAAGGAATTAGCTGATTTTGGAGTGGTTTTTTTTTTAAGGTTATTTGAGGATGCTAAATGGATTTTCTGCCATTTTCAGGATCGAAAATGGCAGTTTTAACAGAAAGTGGCCATATTTTTACTCTTGGTGGACTGATTTTGATGACTTTTGGGTTGATTTTAAAGTTTTAGCAGACCCAAAACTGCCAGATTCGATCCTTAAAGTTTCAGAAATTGATTCAGCATCTTCAATAACCCTTAAAACCACGCCAAAATTGTCCAAATCAGCCAAGCTAGCCTAACTATTGTCTGATATGCTAATTAATGCAACTTAAGCTAATTGTGCTAATTCCCCAACATATGCAAGTTATCATCCGGTAGTTTCTATGTGCTGGGAACCCGTACTCTACATTTCTATCATAAAACCTTGGGGTATTCAACATTTCAATGAGAGTAGTTATCTTTTGTTTTCTTCTGAAGTTTTCTTAGATGAAATACCCCCTTATTCTGACATAGCAACATCTAGAAACGTGTCACATTTAACCCCAGGAAAACAGGAAAGTTAAGTGTGATGTGTTCTTTTGTTAGAAGTAAATATATTGATTTTATTTCTTACAATTGTGTGTGTGTGTGTGTGTGTGTGTGTGTGTGTGTCTCTCCCCCACCTCTCAGGTCCAGGAGGTGAACGCCCAGCTGCAGAGGGAGAAGGAGGCGGAGGTTCAGCAGCGGCAGCCGACCCGCTCTGATCACGCCAGCGCAGGAGGAGGAGGGGGGTCGGGGAAGGGCTTCAACGAGGAAGACCTCCAGATGCTCATCAAGGCCGTCAACCTGTTTCCTGCTGGGACCAACGCAAGGTACACACTCGCACTGCAGCTACCACATGCTTTATTTTGAAATACTATGATTTGTATCTTCATTGTCATTTTTGTAAACATTCAGACATAACCAGAGATGGTAAAAGTACACACATCCTTTAGTCAAGTAGAAGCACAGATACTCGTGTTTAAAAATACTCTGGTAAAAGTAGAAGTACTGACTAAACTTCTTTACTCAAGTCAAAGTAAAGAGGCTTTGAAATGTACTTCAGTAAAAAGTACCCATAACTAGCAGCTGCTTTAAAGAGTACCTGAGCTCCCTTTATATTAATAGAACAATAATGTCATTGTTAGCTAATGAATGTTTCCATGCTGAACAACGGCAACATGACAACGTTTCCATTGGTCCCTCTTCTTTAGAGAAGACCAGGAAATGATGGATACACGGATAGTGTTCAAATCAATAGGCACGCAATGACTCTAAAGAATAATGATCACGCACCAAACACACATTCAGACTAAAGGAACCAGCTGTTTGGGAAATGAGAGAAGTAGAAAGTACAAGTATTTGAGTTCAACATGAAAGAAGTAGAAAGTACAGGTATTTGAGTTCAACATGTAAGAAGTAGAAAGTACAGGTATTTGAGTTCAACATGTAAGAAGTAGAAAGTACAGGTATTTGAGTTCAACATGTAAGAAGTAGAAAGTACAGGTATTTGTGTTCAACAATGTAAGAAGTAGAAAGTACAGGTATTTGTGTTCAACATGTAAGAAGTAGAAAGTACAGGTATTGGGTTCAACATTAAGAAGTAGAAAGTACAGGTATTGTGTTTCAACATGTAAGAAGTAGAAAAGTACAGGTATTTGGGTCAACATGTAAGAAGTAGAAAGTACAGGTATTTGAGTTCAACATGTAAGAAGTAGAAAGTACAGGTATTTGAGTTCAACATGTGAGAAGTAGAAAGTACAGGTATTTGGGTTCAACATGTAAGAAGTAGAAAGTACAGGTATTGGGTTCAACATGTAGAAGTAGAAAGTACAGGTATTTGTGTTCAACATGTAAGAAGTAGAAAGTACAGGTATTGTGTATCAACATGTGAGAAGTAGAAAGTACAGGTATTTGTGTTCAACATGTAAGAAGTAGAAAGTAAAGGTATTTGTGTTCAACATGTGAGAAAGTAGAAAGTACAGGTATTTGAGTTCACATGTGAGAAGTAGAAAGTACAGGTATTGGTGTTCAACATGTAAGAAGTAGAAAGTACAGGTATTTGAGTTCAACATGTGAGAAGTAGAAAGTTTCAAGGTATTTGAGTTCACATGTAAGAAGTAGAAAGTACAGGTATTTGTGTTCAACATGTAAGAAGTAGAAAGTACAGGTATTGAGTTCAACATGTAAGAAGTAGAAAGTACAGGTATTTGAGTTCAACATGTAAGAAGTAGAAAGTACAGGTATTTGAGTTCAACATGTAAGAAGTAGAAAGTACAGGTATTTGTGTTCAACATGTAAGAAGTAGAAATACAGGTATTTGAGTTCAACATGTAAGAAGTAGAAAGTACAGGTATTTGAGTCAACATGTAAGAAGTAGAAAGTACAGGTATTTGAGTTCAAACATGTAAGAAGTAGAAAGTACAGGTATTGGGTTCAACATGTAAGAAGTAGAAAGTACAGGTATTTGAGTTCAACATGTAAGAAGTAGAAAGTACAGGTATTTGGGTTCAACATGTAAGAAGTAGAAAGTACAGGTATTTGTGTTCAAACATGTAAGAAGTAGAAAGTCAGGTATTTGTGTTCAACATGTGAGAAGTGAAAGTACAGGTATTTTGTGTTCAACATGTAAGAAGTAGAAAGTACAGGTATTTGGGTTCAACATGTAAGAAGTAGAAAGTACAGGTATTTGGGTTCAACATGTAAGAAGTAGAAAGTACAGGTATTTTTTGTTCAACATGTAAGAAGTAGAAAGTACAGGTATTTGTGTTCAACATGTAAGAAGTAGAAAGTACAGGTATTTGTGTTCAACATGTAAGAAGTAGAAAGTACAGGTATTTGAGTTCAACATGTAAGAAGTAGAAAGTACAGGTATTTGTGTTCAACATGTAAGAAGTAGAAAGTACAGGTATTTGGGTTCAACATGTAGAAGTAGAAAGTACAGGTATTTGTGTTCAACATGTAAGAAGTAGAAAGTACAGGTATTTGTGTTCAACATGTAAGAAGTGAAAGTACAGGTATTTGAGTTCAACATGTAAGAAGTAGAAAGTACAGGTATTTGAGTTCAACATGTAAGAAGTAGAAAGTACAGGTATTTGAGTTCAACATGTAAGAAGTAGAAGTACAGGTATTTGAGTTCAACATGTAAGAAGTAGAAAGTACAGGTATTTGAGTTCAACATGTGAGAAGTAGAAAGTACAGGTATTTGTGAGTACAGGTATTTGTGTTCAACATGTGAGAAGTAGAAAGTACAGGTATTTGAGTTCAACATGTGAGAAGTAGAAAGTACAGGTATTTGTGTTCAACATGTAAGAAGTAGAAAGTACAGGTATTTGAGTTCAACATGTAAGAAGTAGAAAGTACAGGTATTTGTGTTCAACATGTAAGAAGTAGAAAGTACAGGTATTTGAGTTCAACATGTAGAAGTAGAAAGTACAGGTATTTGAGTTCAACATATAAGAAGTAGAAAGTACAGGTATTTGAGTCAACATGTGAGAAGTAGAAAGTACAGGTATTTGTGTTCAACATGTAAGAAGTAGAAAGTACAGGTATTTGGTTCAACATGTAAGAAGTAGAAAGTACAGGTATTTGAGTTCAACATGTAAGAAGTAGAAAGTACAGGTATTTGTGTTCAACATGTAAGAGTAGAAAGTACAGGTATTTGAGTTCAACATGTAAGAAGTAGAAAGTACAGGTATTTGAGTTCAACATGTAAGAAGTAGAAAGTACAGGTATTTGAGTTCAACATATAAGAAGTAGAAAGTACAGGTATTTGAGTTCAACATGTGAGAAGTAGAAAGTACAGGTATTTTAGTTCAACATGTAAGAAGTAGAAAGTACAGGTATTTGTGTTCAACATGTAAGAAGTAGAAAGTACAGGTATTTGAGTTCAACATGTAAGAAGTAGAAAGTACAGGTATTTTAGTTCAACATGTAAGAAGTAGAAAGTACAGGTATTTGAGTTCAACATGTGAGAAGTAGAAAGTACAGGTATTTGTGTTCAACATGTAAGAAGTAGAAAGTACAGGTATTTGTGTTCAACATGTAAGAAGTAGAAGTACAGGTATTTGAGTTCAACATGTAAGAAGTAGAAAGTACAGGTATTTGTGTTCAACATGTGAGAAGTAGAAAGTACAGGTATTTGTGTTCAACATGTAAGAAGTAGAAAGTACAGGTATTTGAGTTCAACATGTGAGAAGTAGAAAGTACAGGTATTTGTGTTCAACATGTAAGAAGTAGAAAGTACAGGTATTTGAGTTCAACATGTAAGAAGTAGAAGTACAGGTATTTGTGTTCAACATGTGAGAAGTAGAAAGTACAGGTATTTGTGTTCAACATGTAAGAAGTAGAAAGTACAGGTATTTGAGTTCAACATGTGAGAAGTAGAAAGTACAGGTATTTGTGTTCAACATGTAAGAAGTAGAAAGTACAGGTATTTGAGTTCAACATGTGAGAAGTAGAAAGTACAGTATTTGAGTTCAACATGTGAGAAGTAGAAAGTACAGGTATTTGTGTTCAACATGTAAGAAGTAGAAAGTACAGGTATTTGAGTTCAACATGTGAGAAGTAGAAAGGACAGGTATTTGTGTTCAACATGTAAGAAGTAG